TGACTATCATCCGCCCCACCCAACGCTAACACAACGTATCCATTCGCAGTGATACGCCGACTGCGGCATCCCGTTCCCACACGGGTAGCTCCTTCACCGCGTCCCGGGCTCGGGGAAGAGCTCGTTGATCCGTGCGATTGCAGGCGATGTGAGTCGTGTTTATTGTCTATGTCCTTTGGTGTATTCGTCATGTTTTCTTTTGGTGTACATCTCTTGAGCTGCACGACGTATATGCGGCTGCGGCTACTCTGTTTTGGCACACGGAGATATGACGCGTTCCGGATCTTTACAATATGCTCTATCAGCCTCCTTCGTTTTTTTGATCTCCCTCCCGCGTCTTGTATCGCTCTACGCTACGCTGCCCCTCATCCACATCTCCTATTTTTTCGCCAAGATGCCTTGCCGATACATTGTCTCTCCCCAGCTCATGCTCGACATCTAGTCGCCCTCGAGCGCGTGGATCAGCAAAAAGCAGTGTTCTTATGGGGCTTATGGAAAGGGTGCAAAAGGTGAGTTTCGTTGGCTGCAACGCCGTGCTATCCCTCTGCTCCATTTTATCCTTCGAGTCCTTTGTACTGATCATGTCTTCCCTCCCTAGGGCGTCATCCTCCTCCTCGAAGACCTCGATGCAACTTTCACGCGCTCCGTCTCCCGCACCGACAACGAAGGCAACGCTGTCGAAGGCCTTGAGCTGCCGCCGAAGCCCCGCTCCCGCGATAAGGTGATCAGAGGTGCGGATGCGGAGGGAGGTGCTGATTTGTGAATCTGTTGTCCTTCGCTTTCTCGATGCGTCGTCACTCTTCGCGTTTTGGATATGCGTCCTCGCACACCCCGGCACGCCCACAGGAGTTGCGCGATCGAGACCGCGACAGTGAGCGACATGAATGCGCTGAGCATCGCGGGCTGCTCAACGCACTGGCCGGCGTCACCGCGGCGGAGAGGAGGGTGTTGGTGGCTTTGTCGTCAAAGTTAGGTGCCGCGACGCTGACGCCACGCCCCTCCCCAGGACGACAAACCATCCGGGGGAGCTGGACCCGGCACTGTCGCGCCCAGGTCGCGTGGACATGGGTGGAGTTTAAGAATGCAAGCAAGTAGCAGGCGGAACTTCTTCCAAGCAGACGAAGACGACCTCCCGCCGCGAGCTGCATCTCCCCGCCATGCCGACGGGCTCGTTTCACTCCGGCTCGGGGTCCTCGCGTTCGGGGTCGAAGTTGTCGCTCTGCTCCACCAGCACGCTCACGTCCTCGGCCGGGTCCGTCGCCACCGCGGTGCAGCACTCGAGTTTGCCCAGAACTTCTTCCCGAGCACAGACGAGGACGACCACCCACTCGACGATGGCGAGCTACACCTCCCCGCCAAGCAGACGGGCTCGTTCCGCTCCGGCTCAGGGTCTTCGCGCTCGGCGTCGACGCCGTCGCTTTGGTCCGCGAGCTCGCTTACGCCCTCGCCTGGGTCCGCCGCCAGCTCCGGCTCCATCGCGGCGCAGCACTCGAGCTTGCCTTTTGCGTTATCGACTGAAAGATGCGTGCGGATTTGATGCAACGCATGTGCAGACCTTCTCAAGAACAAGTCGCGACCGAGGCAGCGGCGATGGAGCGTGGGCGTGGATCGTCGCGGAGAGGGAGATGCGCGAGCGGCTGAGGAAGGAGGAGAAGGCGAAGGAGAGTCGGGAGAAGGCTGGGGTGCGGTTTTCTAGCCTAGTGAAATCAAGACTGACCGAAGGATGCAGCGCGAGAAGAAACGGAAGGCTGCTGCGGACAAAAAGGAGGCTGAGGCGGTGAAGGCGAGGGCGAAGGAGAAAGAGGATGCTGAGAAGACGAAAGCGGCGACAGCGGCAGCAGCAGTAGCGCTGCCAGTAGTGGATGCGCCCGCACCGTCCGCGATGACCACGACTACGGCTGCCGCTGGTGATGCGTCAGACGAGCCAGCGGCCCTGGTCCCGTAGCAGAAGCTACTCCTCCGGCCATACTTCCTGCAGACACAGCGCCGGCACCAGATGCGGTGGCGACAGCGAGAGCAGAGAGCGAGTACGACGACGTCGGCCGTTCTCGCCCGATCCGCCGCATCCTGCCTTAGACCCCCGTCCACCCTGCACCGAGCCACCCCCCCACCTCCGAGTAACGGCGGGCGAGCTGGTTATGACTCACTGGCCACTCGCCGCATCTACATCATCCTCATACATACTCTGTTCTCCGGCGTACCTCAATGCCCTGCGTGGCGCGCGACGGCATGCTCGGGGTTCGCGCCGGAGCTTTTTATCCTATGCTGCTCCCGTTCGAGGATCGGTTTGTTTTCCTGCAACATCTCACGTATCTTCTTCCTATGCGGCGCCGTCGGTGAGCGTGTCTCTGGGAAGCCTTTATGTATCTCCTGATGTCTCTGGTATACTATATTTTGGTGTCTTCAATGGATATGCGTCGGTCTTCGTTAAATTCGAGCATCTCCGCCTAAATATTTCGTATTTGTCGCTGTTTGCACTCGAAGGTGTACTCCTTCCTCCTTGTAATCGCTCTTTGTGCTGTTTGTGGGATGGTACGACCCGAGCTTTGGCTGAATCTTTGATTCGAAGCTCCCTTGTACGATGCTTGACGATTGTCTTGAACCCTTGTCCAAGTCTCATAGCAATCGCCCTTGTGCTCTTTGTTACGTTTGTAGAATGGAACGAGTCGGAACGACACGATCTGTAGGTTGCTCGGCCAACTTGGAAGAAGATGTGAAGTCTTGGATTCGAAGCTTCCCTCGCCATGCTTTGGAAGATACCTTGTCTTGTACCTTGGACTATCGTCAAGCAAGCCGCGGTTAAGTACAAGTCGTATAGCAACTTTGTTTCCATGCTGTATATAATATGGCTGATTTATTCTCTTCTCAGTCGTCGAACTCACCCCACGCGAGGTAAGGCATACTTTGTCTTTCTGATTTGTTTTTCACAATCACAAGTTATCCTAGACATGTCCTTTCACTCTGTATGGTCCCCTGTATTCGATGTGTTCGACCCGGACAACCCTCGCCATATCGCGCTGCTCTTCCATTTGATGTCTGTCGCGACCTCGAGCGACACAATCTTTGCGCTCAGACATCTAAATTCGCGGCTTCTGCGTCTCCCACCCGAAATCATCGCAGAAATCTTCCAGATCTGTGTAGCGCCAGATGTAAACGCCGATGGCGTGGTCGATACGTGGAAATGCCCCTGGGTTCTTGGTCAAATATGCAGTTACTTGCGGACAGTGGCCCTCTCCATCCCACGACTATGGTGCAACATTGTCATAGTTTTGAAGCATCCTAGCGCGTCCAAAAACCTTGTTCGCCGTCTCGAGGTCTTGCTAGAGCGATCGGGGAGTTGCCCTTTAACCTTGGTGGTGAGGTCGGACTCAACGTGTGCGCTTGACTTGCGCTCACACCCAGCGTTGGCCGTGCTCATGGAAACATCGGGCCGTTGGGAGGATATAGACTTTTGTCTCCCTCCACTGCTTCTCAGCAGTCTGACTACAATCCAAGGCCATCTGGGGTGCCTGCGCGCTTTGAAGATATATCCGGCCCAGAGACCGTCTCGATATTATCCTCATCTGGTCATCGACGCGTTTAAAATAGCGCCTTTGCTAGATACTGTTCAAGTGCGGAACGACTCGGACATAACGATTCTCCTCCCTTCGGAGCAAATCAGGTATTATCGTTCAACATGCAACGACCTTCCGCAGTTATCTCGCATACTCAATGGCATGCGAAATCTCGTTGTGTGCTACCTTGAACCTGTGTTCGAGTCTGGGCTTTCCGTCTCCGAGCAGATACATCTGCCAAACTTGCGCACCTTGCAGATCGGTGTTGACTCAAACTTCGGCTACTGCTACGACCATCGCGCCGCTCTTCTGGATTCATTCACCGTTCCCGCATTGAGGATTCTCAGCATCAGATGCCACAAGAACGATCGATTCATCATACCCAACTTGATCGCCATGGCGAATCGATCCTTATGCAGGCTCAAGAAGGTTTCAGTGGAGATGCCTACCGCAATCCCCCTCGATATCCTTGCATTTCTGCAGTGTACGCCGACACTCACCCATCTCACTCTGAAGGGCGAGTTCCTTATGCCCGGCATTGTGCAAGGGTTAACCCATGTCACAAACTCCATTCATGCGCTGCTTCCCGCACTCCAAACGCTTGTAATCCATGTCGATTTCTTGGATTCGGAGGTCGTGGATCTGGTACGCTCGCGTACCAACCCGAACTTCATCCTCGATGGTACACCGGATGTCTGCAAGCTGAGAATTAAGAAGCCGCCGCGGATCGACGACGCTACTTTCGATTCGCTTTTTGAGGGAGATGGGCTTGACCCGTACCTGACGAAAGCGATGATATAGATATCCCTGCTGTACTTGGAAGGTTCAAGAAACATAACTCCTTTCATTTTGGACCCCCTATACCACCTCACTCGATATTTTGTCAGTACATCACTCGTTTATGCCCACCACACTCGTTTATGCCCACCACACTCGTTCTATACCCTCCGTTCACTACTACTGTAGATTACCCACTCGTTCACCTCCGTTTCATTCTCAGATCTTACTCAACCGTCTTTCCTGTTTGCAATCGATACTGTCAAACTACCAGAATTGGCCGACCTGAAATACTGTATGTAGTATCTTGTTCGATTGCTGCTAATAAGTATCCCCACAAATCGTCACATTTATGTAAATATCAGTGGAGTTGAGAACTTTGGTGAATATACGGACTTCTTAATTGCGATGGTCGGGGATGCAGGTACAACACGAGTAGAGCTTCCCCATCTAAAGTCGCCCATCGCCGATCTCTCGGTCCAGCGCGTCGTCGACCGGGTCAAGGTCCCAGATACTAGGCCCTGTTCTCATGTCCGCCCCGACGTTTTGAATATATAGTGGAGCAGATATTTCTCGTTCGCCTTCTGATGATAAGCCGTTTGTTTACTGCTCATGTGCTGCGCCACAACCTCGTAACTACATAGTCTGCCACTTGAGAAAATTCTCAACAGCAACGTAGCACAGCTGGAAGTGCGCCGGTCTCATAAGAAATTATGCAGTTGAGCAATCCGGAGGTCGCCTGATCGAAACAAGCCGTTGCTATCTGTTTTTGCACCTGTGGCCTGTGGTATGAGGTGAGTCGATCGCTGAGTCGAGTGACTCAGTGGCCCGAGTCATTCTTGGACGGCACGTGGTCAGTAGTTCAATAAAAACGTTACCCGGCGTACCGTTCACAACAAGGGGGTACGGAAAACAAAACAAAATACCTTACTGTACTATTACGACCAAAGGTTCAGGTGACAGGTGACAGGCCCTCGTGAACTGAACAATTTTGCACTAGGTGACAGTGACTTTGAGATTTTGTGGCTAAAATAGGCCAAAAAACGTCGAAATTTTCCGTCCGGCAAGTGCCGGACTACCATATATGGTAATTTTCTCCTGATTGCGGGCGAATGAACAACTTATCCAGTGAACAATTGAGGTGACGGGTGACACCCCGTGAACCTTTGGTCGTAATACTACAGTATGCCGTTTTTTTTATTATCGACCGTTTGCGGGACCCACCCTACCACGTGATGTCCAAATAAGGAAATATTTCCTTTTTTGGCAGCATCAACATGCTGGATGTATTCAATATTGACGAGGTGAGCACTGGTCAGACACCTTCCTTCAATGCAGCTTTACTTTCAGAGGCCTTCAGTACCTATGTTCCACATTTGATCCCACTGTCAAATATGACTACATTGATGGCTGATCTTTCCAAAATGGGACAAAATAGCGAAGAAGAGTGATTGCCCTCCTCCAAATGCTCGATTTGAGCCAAATAGGTGGTAGACAGTGTTCTGTAACTCAGTAGGATGCACCACAGGCCATTTCAACTTGAATCAAGGGAGGTCATTATTTTTTTTTAACTGACCTTTTGGCCGACCACCCTCCCTGCCCTAGGTCCCGGCTTGTCCGGCCCGCACCCCCTTGGTTCACAAAGAAGGATGAGCTCCGGTGTGATTTTTAACCTTCCTTCCTTCCTTGGCAGTTTTAGCTATCCATGTAAACATTTTATTCACAAACAGAACTTGTTCTGTATGTGCCTATTTGGGGGGTTTCCAAATATGTTTCTCGATTTGTGCACCCGTATCGACGCGTTCGAATCACGTGCCAAATGTTCAATCTCGATTTTAGCATTGCAGACTAGAGAAAACGTGAAATGAATGACATAAACGTCGAGCTGAGCTATCATAAACCTTCAGAAATCTCATTCTGTTGGCTTGGGAGTTGGAAAGTCTCATCCTCGCGATAGTTAAGTATCGTGCGGTTTCATGTGGATGAGTCAACATTGGCAAGCTTTGGAATTCCCGGATGAAGCCTTGCAGAAAGACAAGTCAAACTTGCTATACTTCGGGTTCTTCCGCTTGAGGTCCCCTTTCCCGCACTTTTCTCGTTGATACTCGAATTCGACGATCGCGCGCATAAATGAAAATCACGAAGAAAATTTGTTTTCAAGATCGACGTACACAAACGCCGGGCTAGGTTCTAACAGGTTCTAACCTCGTCAGCTATGTGAATTGATCGAACCCCACAGATCCGCCATAGAAATCATAGGACTGCGCCTGTTCCCGATTCTTTCCGTTAAGGAGTGGAGTTGGTTGACGTGGATGGTAGACTAAAAAGAATGACCATGGGTTGGAAAGCATAACGAACGAATGGAATTTGACAGAAGGAGAGGACGAGGGGTGAAAGAAGGTGCGGGTGAGTGTTTATTGACTAGAGCGATGTGCCGACGTTTTGCATGCGCGAGTGAGACAAGTCGATGGCGAGCTCATCGGGAAAGCGTTTTATGCTTGCCTTTGCACGCCTTCGTCGCTGCACTCGTATCTGCAGCGGCTGTCGTGGTCGGCTGCATCCCGTTATGGACGGAGGCATGGCTGTATGCATGAGTGGCGTTGGACGAGGAAGGATGGGAAGAAACGGAAGGCGAGGAGTCGCCATTGACAAACGCTGCCACTGGTGGGCCAGGGAATTGGTACGCTCCATGCATGTTGTATACCTGGACGACAAGGACAATAATGTTGGCCAAAGGAGACTAAGGAAGGAAAACAAGGGTCGCGAACGTACATCGATCAAAATCCCTTTATCCGTCGCGCGATACGCACCAGGGAAGCGGACAAGCTCGCTCTCCGTGGGCGCGTCTGTGCCGGAGCCGGTGACCTTGAGTTGTGAACAGCTCACGTAGAACTCCGCGCCGCCAATCGACTGGGCTGTGTGCAGCGCTATGATTTCGCTGCGGAGAAGATACTCGCCGGCCTTGAGGTTCGCGGGAAGTGTGGCACGCGCGGGAGAACCGTCATCTGTAGTCGAAGTGTTATCGGATCCAGTGTGTCAACGCCGACATTTAGTTAGCGCACCAAGTTTAGCTTGAGCCCAATTGCCGTTCGCATCCAGTCCTTGTTCGGCGATTTTGAACCACCGCGCCTCGCTTGCGTTAAATTCGGCACAGTTCGAGTTCTCGCACCTAGCGAGGTAGGTCAAGATCGGGCCCATGTCGTGGAACCAGTTGCCGTCGCCCGCGAGGGTGTTCCAGTCCATCAAGAGTGTATCGCCAGGCGCCGCAGGGGCAACGAGCGCAGCAGGTTTCGCGTTCCGGCCACAAGTGAGGTCGGGGAGAGAGGCGTCTTTGACGGGGAGGTTGTTAGAGATCTGACGGACCACGGAGGGCGCACCGTTGGGCACCTGCTCGAGGGGCTGGTTGCCCTTGTACACCTTGCCTGCGATAGTGAGTCTACCGACCCACCCATGGGCCACGGCAGAGGCAATGAGAGATGCGGAAAAGAGGATGGAAGCGGCACACTTCATGCTGAAGGAAGGAGATAAAGAGTGGAGGGATAAAACCAGGCTGAGGAGGAAGGACAGGGCACTACTCACTAGGGCTAATTTTCAACGGCTTTTATTTGATCCTAATCAGATCGATTTACCTCATACGAAGCTGATCTGAGGATGAATTAGCGCTAGCAAATTTAGTTGCGACTAAGAATCATCCTTTTTCGGGCAGCCCTCTTACGTCGGAACTTCAACATTGGAGTCTTGGGAGGAGGCGCGTTATGCGTGAATCGATATCGGAACTTTCGCCACATGGGCCAGCTGTCCCTGCCGCTGCGCGGCGTAGCGAGTCCCTGGTGCCATCTCCCTGGTGCAGTTTTGCTCTTCAAAATCCTTGGATTCCGTCAAGCACGGCGCCCCTGCAGTTGATTGAATCTGTCTTTGGTCTTTCCTGCCTTCTCTCTTCTGTTATGGGCCTAGATCTGTCTTGAGAAGGTCATTTTACCTCTAATATTTCTTTGACAGCGATTCGTTTACGCGCCTGGGCTTTGTTCTGGCCAGGCCATGTCCTTCATTCTTTCTCAGGAATTTCAGTTATTCCATTGGTCATTCAAAATTGGATGAAATGATGCTTACTCTTCTAGTCTGAACAGGCGTCGTAAGAAAATCGAACCTCAATCGTATCGATACTTCGGTCAATAAAGTTTACTTCCTGCGTATTCTGATACCTACTTGTTCGTCATCAGATACCGGTTCTGTAACAGAGCGAATTACTTCTTGAAGACGAGTGTAGACGAAGTCAGACTTACATTCACGCGGGGGTGTCTGACAAATAGGTGGCGTCCGTCGAAGACTTCCACCACTTTTGTCAACATCTCGAATTAATTATGTCACAGTGATGCGGCGGTCTGGGGATAAGTTTGACTTACTGGAATCAAGTATGGGAGAGCCGACGATTTGCAGATGATGGGGAAGAAGATTGGCCATTTTATGTGCTACGACAAATTATATTTGTCCGCAGAGGTACGAAATTACTTGTTCTTGAGTTGAGGGCTAGTGGTGCCTGGTTGTACGAGTCCTGTTCTTTTTTGAAGGGCTAAGCAGTGTACTCGTAATGGGCATGGCCTGGTCTTCTAGCATGCGCGAGATGACCACAGTCCAATGATGGCTTCCACCAACTCTGGCTGCGAATGGTAAAAATCGAGGACTGGAACAAACGTCGATCAGCCCGTGCGCCTCGGTGCATATGCACGCATGTAGGTGTATGGGAAATAAACGTACGAACAATACCGAGCCGCTTCTCTTTATGCTGCCTGATCCACGGGAGCAAACGCTCGTTTATTCCCGTGGTCGACGCATCTCCCAAGGCGATGATCTGATCGAATAACGCGTGAGGCATGTACGACGGACGTGGACAAACAGGCTCAGCCATACATTTGGGGTGATCCTGTCAGCATTTTTGTGCGCGCTAGCGAAAGAGATATAGAGCGCTTCTTCGACGTCTTTTCGGTCCGAGACAGAGACAGCAGCATTCATCGCCTTCGTAAGGTGTCCGGTAATCGCCTCGAATTTGGACGTGATGTTGGCGTCTGCACTGGAACTAGGAGGAACTAAAGGTTTGAATGTGTCCTGCGATGTCGAACCGAAGGTCAGTCTAAGCGGTACATAAAGAACGACGCTTTCGACCTGGATATACGCGACCCTCTTGGGTGCCTTCTTGTAAACAAGCTTGATATCCCCACCATTCTCCGTCCACTGTTTGGCCTCGAGATGAATCCCAAAAGGGTTCGCAGGAGAGGAGAGGAATTGATAGGTGAATCGCTGCAAGAGCACGAGTTTCCCTCGGGCAGCCCCAAGGGTCCCTAACTGGGTGAACATCATGACCATGAGTCACACTCAAGATCACTTAGGATTATTAGCAGTCTCGTACCTCGCCCGCAACTGGAAGCCAGAACCTCTTTCCCAGCTCATTGTTTAAGGTCGCAAACAGAATTTCCTCGAATTTCTTGTCGTACAGGGTGTTGGAGCCGACCTCTTGGTTGATGGACACGAGGATCGTCTCCGAAGGATGGGCTATGAGCCAATTGTAGAGCCCGTAAAGCACATCCTGCAGTGTAGTTGTCGGTCCAAGCATTGCAACGCCTATAGTGACAGATTAATTGCGACCAAGCAAGGTTCTTAGTTAATATGAACCATGGTAGAACCCAATCGTATCGCTTCCAGGATTATATCCCAGTCTTAAATCGAAAACTCGGATACCGTCGTTTAGGGACTTTAACAGCGAGCGC